GAAATGATCAGGATATTGTGCTTACTTTGCAACATTGCAACTGAAAACAAAACCTTGCAACTAAAAACAATTTTTAAACAAGGATTATGTTTTTGATTTGGAGGAAATAAATGCCATTCCAAAAGTAGTAAGCTGAAGCACAAGTACATTTGAGTTCATCTTGGTTAGAACTAAAGAAATATATAGCGGATATTGAACAGTTTTCTGTTGTATGCCATTTCATGATTATTACAGAATGCTTTTGCTTAAATGAGAGAGAAAAGGTTGTTTTGTTTAAGTTTTGATTTACAAGGGAGATAACTATCACAACCCACATTGTTCTGCAAGTTTTGATTTACAAGGGAGATAACTATCACAACCCACATTGTTCTGTTGACAGCCTACATGAGCAGCCCCTGCCACATTGAGGTTATTCTTGCGGAAAGGGAGCAGGCTGTGCCCCGCCCCGGCCCTGGTGGTGAAGATGAACCAGTCAAAAAGAAGGTCTCCCAGAAGAAACTTAAGAGGCAAAAGATGATGATGAGGGACTAAATACTACTTTACTAAATTAAACGTGTCTGGTTCAAATCAAAGGGTTTGTGTTTTTTCTGAAGGCCATGGATTTTATCTGTTATTTTGTTATCATACTGATAAACAAAGTGATTCACTACCTTGCAGTTTTCTTCTTTGAAACTTTGTAGCATTGATAGTCATGTTGTTTCAAGCATTCAGATAAGTGAAGTTTTCCTTTTGATCATGGAAACCATTTGTTTCTGGTATGACTAGCTTTGATAAAGTTTTTCAAAAAATGAAATTTATACATTGCAGGACTCTTTATGATAAATAATAAAGATCAAATGAACAAAATACATAAATCGGCAGTTATTTTTTCAAGTTTAAAAAAATCACCGAGGCTAGTAGACCTCTAATCACTCGAATCTACGGAATTTCCTTTTCATTCATATCTTTATTCCTCCATACATGAAGAGTTATATAAAATACATATTTTTAATACACAATAGATATAAGAAAAGTAATACAGTTACAAAATAATGTATAATGACTCGAAAAATAAGTTGATTGAATGATGTAAACTTACATTTAACAATTGCATAGCCTTCAACCAGTATAATACAAAAAGGTTATTTACAGGAACACATGTATTATTGAAGGGTAAGAGCAGAGGCTTTCTCTGCAAAATTGCAACAGTCTCGTACAAAAGACGAGAAAAGATATTCGTCTTCTCCAAAAAGATCTCCAAAAAGATCAGGAGAGCCGAAAAACGTTGTTATTTGAATATTCCGACTCACCTGGTCCAGAGCAACGTCAGTAGTCGTCTATTTTGGAGAAGATGTTATCGCGTAAAGCTAACACTTCTTCGCCAGAGCAGTCCAAGATACAATGTGCAACTGCATCGGCTACAAGCACATTGCATTGTGCACATGCTAATTCACAATCTGGAGAAATAATCCAGAGCTTTGCAACATTAGCGGGGCTAGGTACCTGACCTCTACAGGATGATGTCAGAACTTTGTCTTCTTTTGGAATCAAAACAGGTGGGATACCAACTAACTCGAATCACCAAAACATAGTTAGTTCCTGTCAGTATTTAGAAGAATTGAAAAAACTTTCGGCTTCAATAAAAAGATGATCTGAATTTCATTTCTCTCTCGCATGTAATTTTATACGTTTTTAATATTCTCCAAAAATGATCAAACATGGCCAACGGTGCTGCTGTTATATTTAAACAGAAGTTAAGGTCGGGTTACTGTACATAGGGGGAATCCTTAAGGTACAACTTGGATTACTGTGATCTAATAAGTGATGAGACAACATTACCCCAGACAGGGACTAGGTGCAAAGGAGTCCATCCACAGATCTTGGGCAAAACAGTATCCTTTGTATCGTCAAGGAAACGGCTTAATAACCAAAACATTTGAAAACAAACATTAGGATTATTTTGATTGTCATTTGTATGATTAATAAATAAGGTTTATCAAGTAATCTGCTGGAATATAAACGGCTGTAATAAGATGTGGCTCCAGAATCGGCTGCAGTTCTAGTTGCCTGTTAATAAACGTTGACAAGCTTCCTCCAAAGGATGCAAGTGGCAGTGGATTCATAAAAATTGAATTGGACCAAAATATTTTACTAAAGGGGCATAACTCTTAACAAAAATAGCGAGAGAAAAAAATGAACTGGTGCACTGATTCAGGAGAAAAATTTAAGGAATTTTCAGGACAAGATTCAGTCTTCTGCTGGGGTATAATAAATTTAAAAAAAAAGAAGTTATCAGACCGTTTCCTAATCCTATCTTGTCTGTCCGTCTCGGGACACAGGTGTCGTGACTGTCCAATATATTTTGGAATGTGCATGTATACGTCTAGTGTATTTTGTGTTTGTCCGTAATCTTTATTTTTTAACTTCATATATGATAGCATTCGGTGCTATCTTATATGGCACCGGTGTAAATATAATTGTGCCAACCATTTGACATTTAATATACATGTGTTACATTGTTATACATGTGTTACAATCTAAACAGATGCTGGAAAAATACAATTTAACTTGAAAATAAATCCTGACATCGATTCTTTAGAGTTTTGCGGTCTAGCAACTTTATTATAAGAACAGTTAAAAGATGGTAGGTCTAGTGAGTCGTAATCTCGGAACATGGGAGCACAACGCCCAGACACGTTTAATTATTGTGACAGCAGGCTAGCTGCGGGAACCGTAGTTCAAGATCCATCGATGTTATGTTATTTTGAAATTCTAGGAATTTGATTTTGAAATTTTGCTATTTGAGCTACGGTTCCCTCTGCAGCTTACAGCAGGCGAACCAGAGGTTCCTATCTAAGGAAACATTTCCGAAAAGGAAGATTGTGATGGGAGCAGTAGATCGGACTTGGTCTCCTCGATGTTCCAAGAGGTGGGAACTGATACAGAATATGAAAATTTCGGAAGCGTATATAAGTCAGTATCATAGGTTCATATTTTGTAACGATGAACGTAACTCAGATTTAGGTTTAGGTAAATGAATCGATTCAAAAACGAGGTGAGCGCAACTCATCAAAGATGAGCGTAACAGATGATCTGTTAAATCATGTAGATGAAACTGAGTAAATGCTAGATGCATTGCTGTACCTATGTAGTACAAATTGTATTTAATTTTACACTAACGACTTCGGCTACTGTCAATGAGGTTCTGAACCACCATGCATAGCGAACCACTGACTGCAGTGACTGGAACACTTTGGTTCAAATACATCATATAGCCACAAACTGTAAACACCGCTATTTTTAACCTAGCTCTAGTCGACGCCATTGATTACGTTCACCAACATCAGAACTAAAATCTTCAGCTCATTGAGCGTAGTACAAACTCGATTTGTATTGTGGTTTACAGAACCAGTCACTAATTTCTACACAATTGATTGTAGATGTTGTAATTAAACTCGAATTGTGGAATATCAAAACGTCACTGAAAATATCTCGACTAACTAAAACAAACCAAAAAGTTACTTCCTAAATTTCTTCTTCAGATGGCACCAGAGCGGTCAGTTAGCTGAAATGTCCTCAGAATACAGGGTTTTGCTTCCATCATTTCATTTTTTCCGGCGAGACAAGCCATGCACCCCATGTGGTTCGACGCTCAGCAGAGACATAATCAGTTTGGGTTTATTTTTCATCCGGGGGTTGAAATATTGTTTACAATACCAGCTCCATTGTATCATTTCTTTTATTATTGTCGAAATAGAGTAGTAATATGACTATAAGAACCGCAATCAGATATACTGAACGATTTGATGAATTGACAATTGCGTGCTTTTTAGATATTAATCATAAAAGATAATTTTTCAGTTGTGATTTTTGTTCAGCATATATAGAATTGTTTGATACCATGACTTAGCGAATGAAAAAGGGAAATGAAAATAAGTTGAATGGTTCATTTACAGTCTTAAAAAACAAATTCAGTAGCAAATACCAAGTTACGTACATCATGGTCGTAAGTCACTTACATTCCAAATTAACGGGTCGTTACTTTCATCATACGCTTCGTAATTGTTCACATGACATTATAACTCTTGTTTGTGAATAATCGAGTCGAGTAAGAAGCAGAAATGTGTTTAATCTGCCATGTTCTGCGCCCCTGTTTTCGCGTTCGCCATCTTGAAAATGAACGTAATTAAAGTTACGTACATCCCGTACATAACGTAACCTCCCGTTAATTTGACATTTGGATAATATATAACGAAGCGTTTGAGGACATGTATTATACACGTGAAACTATTGCATTGTAATAAAGCAAATCTCTGAAAAAGAAACAATAAAATTCACGAGCAATAATATATAAGATTAGTAGCAGGCTTTTTTAATAATGATCATACAATCTTACATTAATTTTGCATGAAACACAGGGCATACTTTCTAATACAGTGCCCACGGGAGTGGTCAGTTAACAGTTTTCAATTCAATTCAATTTATTACCAAATGCACATTGCATATAGGCGTACAGAAATATACATATAGATAAATACTTTACAAATATCTTGTACAATGGCGGAGAACATATGCAATAGATTCAATTCCATACATAATATTTACAAATTATGAAATTGGTATAAGTTTGGGAAAATTTTAAGGTTTTCCTAAGGTAACCTAGCGGACTCTTATGAAGCATAATTTAGTTGCATAATTTAGTCGTTTAGGAAATAATACAAATAAAACCTTAATCTAACCAAATTTCTAGGAAATGACAAAACTTCAAAGTCAATCATACAACCTCAACATGAAGGTAGAACGAGTACTATATATTATATAATGAAATGAAATTATAACTCATTGTGAAATAAAAGACATAGAGTGGTCAGTTAACAACAGTTCACCAGTGACCTGCGCGTACCTGCACCGTTGCTATGGTGCCTGATGTAGTAGGTTTATAGGTAAAGTAATTTACCTGGCGGCGACTGAGTAGATATCATACCTTCGCGCCTAGCCAACTCACCCGAGGATAGGGGGCAGTCTGATCGCCGGGAGTGGTCAGTCTGACTATCGAGACTGGCAGTGATGGCGTCGCCCCAGGGAAGTACCCGTGATGGCCCTATCAAGAACCTGAGTCGGACCCTAAATGGATCTTACCTGATGGCCTGTGGGATCGGAGAGGAGGGGGAGCAAGCGGACCCCCCGGATCACCAGGTAAGGCTGAATTATTCTTTTATCAATATTATGTAATTTCTTCCTCATGTGGAATATCGTTTATTTAAATACATTTTACTTAAAATTTCCTAATGTATCTTGATTTCTTAGATTACTCGATTTTAAATGCGTATCTTACACCTGTTACAGGGGATTGGATAGAAATGCGGAAGAAGACGTTATTATGTTAAGTAGTAGCTCTGTTATCTGTCACATTCAGTATCTCTTTTATAACAAATATTGGCCCATTTCAAACACAACATTGTGTTACAACTCGGTTGCATTGCATGTTACTATCCTCGTATCTATACATATAATATATCCTACATCCTGGTACTCATACAATTATATAGTGTACAATTTAGAACTGTATAATACACGTTCCTCAACACCGAGATCTGACGAAAGCTCCGTCCATTCACATAACACCAATTTCATAATTTTTTGTACGAATTATATTTCATTTCCCCAGCAGCGTTTCCTGTTGCCTCAGTTCCTTTTTCTTTGTCGAGTGATTGTTTCGAATCAGATATAAATAGCTAAATTGTTTTGAGGATTTCACTTTCGGACCGAGTTGTTGTAGAATGACAGCCGAACGTTCCACTAGTACTGATGATGTAGGTATAGGTAATCATTAGTAAGGAAAATGCGTTAAATATTTCGATCTCAGAATAAGAGATAATTATGTGCGTTGTTACTTAACAAAATCAAAATCTCAATAGCAGGCGTTTAATCTCTGTTTGAAGTAATATACCGTATGTGTATACCACCATACCGTCACATGCGTCTCAAATAATTTTTGAACGTGTTCCGCAAAGCGAAACACGCGAAGAATATTTATATAATCGTTCATTGAACTCAATTAATCTTTTGATTACACATCTAAAATAGACACCAAAACAGGTACTTATAACAGTCTGATTCATGCAGAAATAGAAGTTTGAAAGACAATGATCTCTTTTTGGGGTTAAAAAACACAGGGTCCTGATATTTATGCAGTAGGTACTTGAGATGGAGTCCCATACAGTTTTCAGTCATGTAATGAAATAGGCATACTCTCAATGTCACGGGGTCATACATGTTAAAATCTTCAAGCAATATTTTCTCAATTTCTGATCATTGTGAAATGAAGCTGATGTTTGGTTAGTAGGGACAGAGTGCTAAGATGCGAGGACCACGCCCCTAGACCCCCGATTAGGGCTAAAACACCAACCCACATCTACGCTCCCGAACTCCCAAGTCCTAGAATCGCGCCTTTTTGATATATGGTACGAACTTGGAGCTTATAAACAATGTAAATGTTGTACTTTTTTCTGTCATCAAGGACTGTGGGTGTTGCGATCAGGACCGTGGATGTGGTGTCCAGCGCGCGTACGAGGGGTGTGGTGCCCAGCACGCGTACGTGAACCCACTGGCCTGTGACGACAGCAGTGGGAGCATTTCTCTGGAGAGCTACTCGGAGGACGAAGACAGTGTTGCTGCTGCCCAGACCTCACGCTGGGTCCAGCAGACACGTGACAGTCAGAACAAGTCCAAGATGTCCAGAGTAATTTCCGTGGACATTGCTGACCGCTCGCTCCCTGCTCCGACCGATACCAGGTACGACATTTGTCAAGAGAACTTATTAGCATAAGGTTAGACAGATATTAGTCAAAAGATCAATATTGAAATAACAAAACCTCCCTATTACATAACGGAATGACACATTTTTAGAAATTTAATATCTAACCACATAACCACGCGATATACTCATCGGTGATAACGGATATATCTCAAAATAAAGTCAGTTTCATTTGCCACCCTGCTAAAACGCCAACATTCCTAAATGTCGAATTTTCCTGTTCGATTTCTATATTGGTTTTCCCGTTAGGTGTAAACATATCTTTACATCGCCGAAGATTTGTTAGATAAACGATTGCAGTATATAAATATCAGGTTGGCTAAGACGCTTACACTCTAAAGAAGAAGTTTGATATTTTGTAACATTAATAAGTCACGTGCATATTTCTAGTGATGGTGTAGTGGTTTGTCGGATCTGTCACGACGACGACTCGGACCATGCTCTCATCTCCCCGTGCTTCTGTTCCGGCTCCATGGGTATGCTGCACATGTCCTGCCTGGAACAGTGGCTGGGTACCTCCGATACCACAAAGTGTGAAATATGTCAGTTCCAGTTCTCTATCAACAAAAAACCCAGGTCCTGTAAATGGGTATGTCCAGTACCGGTCACGTTTTGTTGCCACTGTTCCTATACTTAGATAGATATTGTGATCTATGGCAAGAAACATTGGGGAATTCGCTACGGTTTCAAGGTCGACCAAATGTTAACATACCTCTGCTTACATTATATAGAACTTGACTGATAACTCATAAACGGTGCTCCATGTTGTCTGCAATCAATATCCGGTACACATCATATTCATTGATGTTTCCAATGGGTATTGGATATAGTATCTTCTACCACATATCACTATCATTCTTTACAGAGATAATGAAATATTTATTGATTAACGTAGACATCCATTGTAATTTGTTAGTAATACTATGTATTACTACCACCTGAACCATTTTGAAACAGACTACATAGACATGTATGCTAGGTGAAACTAGGTATTTTAAAAATGTATGCTAGGCGAGACTTAACCTGTGATTCTTAACAATTATAGTTGAACATAATTAAACTGTTTCCCTACCTGTTCTGTAGTTTCTGACCAATAAGAAGCTTGGCCGAGAGAGGCGGTTACTGTTGGCGGATATGTGCTGTTGTATGTGGTACGCGCCGTCTACCATCGCCACAACGCTGTCCTGTCTGATCGGCGCCACGCACTTCACCTCCGCCAAGAAGAGCTGGGAGGCCACTAGTCTCATCCTCCTCGCCACCGTCAACATGTGTTTTTTCATGCTCTGGTGTGGGGTACGTATGTCCCTGATTCTCTGCTACATTCTCTGTCCCCTTGTATCTGAAATATAATTTTTAGTTAAGTTTGTCGCGCGGTTCCCGAGTTTCGCTAGCCCAGCACGAACTGTTTTCAGTCAACTCTATTCTGTTCACTCGTACAGACTTATGGTACATATCTATTTAATATTATCTGCTGCGTAAACAATACCGTCAATAGGCGAAAGGCTCTGCTGATTGGATGTGTATAGGACTCGAACATTCTTTCTATATTAACAAACCTATTTCGCCTTTCGTCACAGTGCTATTTTGTGCCATCCTTTGACATTTCTGAGAACATTGCGCTTTTTGTCCGGTCCTGTTTGACCTTTCTCGAAACTTGACAATGTCATGCTTATTTTTTAGTTTGCATTTCGCCGAAATCTGAAGATATGCAACAAATGGAAGGCGACTCACCAAGTGATCCGTATAAAGTACAACCCTCCTTCAAAGACAGATACGATAGCCTCACAGTCCTCGTACAGGAAGTCCGTTGATATCCCTCCGGAATCGCCGCCGTCTCCAGCAAAGCTAGCAGAGATGGCACAGCGAGAACGCATCACAGGAACGCCATACGGGTCTCCATGGCCACGACGTCAGTCAAAGTTACATAGTACGTCCACACCGCGCGTGTCGTCCGCCTACACTAAGCTGAATGACAGCTCGTGCAGGATTCCGGAACAAACTCCTATTAACTTCATCCGAGATCACATGATGCGAAAATGGGGACTGTATTCAAGCCACTCTTCCACGCCTGTCCGCGAGCATGACATTACCGCGGTCAGGCAGGAGCGCACGAGACGCAATCCGGAATGTCAAGGCGTGCTATGTATGACGCCTATCGTTGCAGACACCAAAGTGACATGCGACCTTCCCAAACCCAACTCTCCCGTCTGGCAACAAGGATTGCAGGGGTCACATCTGTTAAAGGCAGATCCCGAGTTGGAAGGAATTAATACACTATGAACACACTAGTGTTAATGACTTAACATTTTCCGGAATACATTCAATGACAGCGGAAGGTTAGCTATCATCTTGCTCCGTTCAAAGGTGTTATCATCAGAATGGATTTGTGTATTTAAAACGTGTGATACGATACCTGTCTATATTATGATGTCATCTTAGTGCTAATTTCAGACTTGTGATATGCGTTTCGAATAATGTATTACTATGATTGGTCCACTCAATTTATTCTTTTGAAGATACCTGGACATTTCATTAGGTTCAGTCAGACACCCCGAGTGCCTTACGATAAGCGACTACGCCCGTGCACGTTTACAGACTAAAGTGGGGTAAAAGTATAGACTGAAAACTGTACGACATGAAATGTCTATAAAGCATCTCCGATCGTTTTCGATCTGACAAATAATTGTGAATTATAAACATAATTTCTTGAATATTGTTGTTTTTCTTATATTGTGGATGGAGTTTAAAGCAAACATGAATTATCATATCTTTTCCCTTTTCATGTTTAAAGGAATGTTTTGTGCTTCTCTTGCATCAAAAACTTAAAAGGTTATTTTATAGCTTTCAGCTAATGGTACCAATGCATGAGTTATAATCGCAAAGAAGAGTTCCATTCAGAAAGTTGGAGTAGTCTCCCTTGTATATAGCAGCTGGAGCAACCAAAATGAGTTTTCTTGCTTAGATAACCTCCCCCCCCCCCCCCCCCAACCCCTTTTTTCATAGGCTTTGCGTCACATCAATTTTACCCTTATGTTGATGCATGACATTTATAATTCCTGTATGGAAACATTGGCTAAGTGTTAACTTTGTTACATTGAGGTCATAAGTTCGACCCTACATTTTTAAAATTTATTTTCAAACATCAAATTTCGAACAACTACGATTTCGTAAATTGCTTGGCAAGATGTAATTTTTAGGACAACAGAAAGCCTAATCAGTCGTCATCATTGAATCCGATCTACCAGAGTTACTCCTCTTCGTTCCTCACTGTTAGATAAAGGTAAAAAAAAAATAGCTAACAATTTATTAAGTTATCTGCATTCTTCATGCAACAGTCAAATCTTTGAATATCTTGATGGGTGCACATGAGCCTTAAATTCGGTCAAAAATGTATAACAGTAACACAAAACATACCTATAATATTATTAAAAAGTAGACAGGTCTATACATCGTGTTATATATAGAATACTCACCAGGATCATCTTATCTAAGTAACCCTGCTGGAGGTGATTCACCAACGCGATTCAAAAGTCATTTACAGGATTCCGGGCGCACCGTTATAAATATTCATGTAAAACGTTAGGTTAAGTGTATAATACGTAGCTAATTAAAGCCGTGACAAGATCGTCACTTGGGACTAATTACATCATGACACGTAGCTATAGCTATATTACCCGAAACTGAAGGTCATTTTTACCCAACTTTCGAGTCGAATCTCTATGTAAAGAGGGGTATGAAAACAGTATTGTGTACACTATGTATCATTGAGGTTAATCACGTCGTACTACATATACGCTTCCTTGTGTAAACATCGTATCCTCGTCCAATTTTCAATTCCAAAATCTTATCACACCGTCTTTAACCATTATGTAAGATATGCATTGTACACCTCACCCAACGTTTCACAGGAATAGCTGCACAGTGCTTCCTCCAGAATCCTGGAAATGACAATACAAGTGTGATGGCGGATATGTGTCAGCAAGACTTAAGAGATAACGGATTTATGTGACTTCGTTGTTGTGACGCGACTGTTATCAGTTATATAAAAAAAAAACACCCACAAAACAGAAATCGGACCTCATCAGATTCTTAACAATACTTTTCATCTTTCGCTGCCTCAGAGACTATGTATGAGAGTAGATATCTCGTAAAAAAACCTAAAGACATGTATGCCTACTGTCTTCCATTAGAGGATATGGCGTCATGCGCCATGACATGACGTAATCTACATTTAGTACTCATAGGTGTAGGGGGGGGGGGGGGGGGGGACCTTATTATAAATCATTGGTTTACATTGAACATGTAATCATCTTAACTATACAGCAAGACACCAATTACAATTAACAGTGGCACTGCTGTACATTTGTATATGCACATGTTAGTGTCCTTGTCGTCATAGTGTTATCGCCGTCATTTGGAATTTTGACATTGACATGAGTAATTTGGCAATGTTCCGTTGCATAAATTATAATAGAGAAGAAGATTTTTTCCTTAAATTTATGAAAACTTACAGCTTTGTCGATGAATAGCCTTTTAACGAAGTCGGCAAGTGAGAGTTATGTCCCTTGATCTGTGTTCTTGTCATTCTATCGTTAATTACATGTAATGTTCAGTCTTACCTAGGCGAATAGGGCAGATCGCGATAGAATCAACTAGCGTTACTTAATGATCGAATCTGTTAAAAATCTGAATGCTAATTAAATGAACTATAAAATATGGCTGCATTCAAATCTAAATTTTAACATAACTTCTTGTATGTCTCGTGATTTTGATGGGTTTTTTCTTCAAAAATGATCCTCGAAGTCACTTGACGGAGTATTATCTATTTTAGGTGTTACGATGACACGATCATTTATGTCTTTATAGTATGTGAACACTTTTTTGAATTGGAAATCGCCTATTTCGACTTAATGTTAGCGTATGATCAGTATAATTCGCAGTCCAGAAATTCACGCACCGACCAGAATATTTATAACAAAAATATTATCGACCCGCGATCCTGAATTGATAGCAGGTATGCATAAAAGGAATGTGTTATTTATTATCAATTTGTATATCAATATGATACATTAAGTTTTGAACAACAAAAATGTAGGATGTGTCTTTTCATGAGTCATGGCAAAACTAAATAAGTCACTTCGGCAAATTTTATTGGTAGAGTCACGGAATTAGATTGCTAACATCTTAATAAGTCCGTGGTAGAGTGTATGTATCGGACCATCTTTTTAGATAACACCCACGAGGTTGTCATAATTAAATGATGATCGGGGTGTTTTATCTCATAGTAAATATTATTTATCTCTAGACTTCCAATTAGTATTGAACAAACTGATAAAACGGTATTAAATAGTTGATGTAATAACACAGACATATAGTTAAATAGAAAAATAATATCAATTCTTACCTGTGGATGAGAAATGAAGCTTTATATCGAATCAAATTAATTACAGAAGAATTTTGAATATCATAATATGTGTTTAGATTTACAGCAGGATACAGATTACCTTGCCACGGACTTGGATAGCAGTCGAATGTAATTTCGTGGTCTTGCGTATGCGTGAATCGCTTAATTGATAGTTTTTGGCGGGAAGCAAGCAGTGCTACACATGCAGAGTTGCGCCCCTTTTGATGATGGCCATCAATCAACGAGAGGATTGAGACACGTGGTAACTTTACATGGTAAGTTCTCAAAGCATGCAAGACAATTTGTCCAGGGAATATCATGGTTATCAATGGCGATTCATGTTTTACCTTATAATAACTTTATTTACAGAGAGTAAAATATTTAGCATACAATAGGCTAATATGTCTAGTCATCAGTTTCCGTGCGTTATATATTTCCGCGCAGCAATTTTATCAACCTATATCTCGTTACTACGAGACCTGCTGGACACTACACAAGGACATTTTAGACGTTTGGCCATCGTCTGTAAACTGACACAAAATTTACCGGAAGTTCGTCCGGAAAACATAGAATTAATCACTGATTAAAAAACTCGCATAAATATGCAGTTTTGCTTAGTTAATGCACTTTTTATCTTGCTCAAAATGAGCCCATACCTGAAAAAACAGTGATATATTTCATTCATGAACCGGTCTTTTTTGTAGTCTGACAAACCACGGAATTAGATTATGTTATCTAAGTCCGTGGACAAACGTACGAAAATGTCTTATGCAAATGAGGCCGATTTTTTTCCACTTCCGAAGAGCCAAGGAGACATTCTTTTATCGATAAACAGTGTTTTCAATGAAACGTAAACCTTGTAATGCAATGAACTTCCAATTTTCACCAATTTTAAACAGAACAAAATGAGAAATAACTTACCTTCAACATATTATCACTAAATAAATAAAATAAATAAAATAAATAAATAAAATAAATAAAATAAATAAAAAAATAAATAAAATAAATTACATGAATTACATGAATTCGTTCAAGTTGACACATTGAAAAATTAATAAAAAGTTTAAAACATTTGTTTTGATAATTAATTTGACGATCAAAGTTCTTTTTTTTTTTTTTATTCCAAACGAAGCTTTTGTTCTTGCATGTCACCGTAGAGAATTTCTTTTAGTGTATTCGAGTTATCTTTCTTTGAACACTAAATTAAAATAGACACACGGAAACATGACTGCTACTTCCGACGGGAGGAATTTGTTAAAAATTGTTTGTTCTGATTTTTATAAAATACAGTTTTTAGTTGTTGGTGTTTTTTCCATTAATAGATTGTTATCATGTTTATGACAGTCATCCGTAACCCCAACAGTTTTCTGCCGATATGAGTACGGTTGCAGGGAGTGTTCAGTGTCCCCCCTGCCTCCCACAGATATTTTCGAATTGGAAGTTAATTGCATTACAAGGTTTACGTTTCATTGAAAACACTGTTTATCGATATAAGAATGTCTCTTGGCTCTTCGGAAGTGGAAAAAAATCGGCGAGGAGATGTGGCCTCATTTGCATACAACATTTTCGTACGTTTGTCAGACTACAAAAGAGAACCATGAAATAGATCACTGTTTTTTCAGGTATGGACTCATTTTGATACATAACGCTTGGAAACTGGTGACTGATCCTTTTGTTTGCCCTAGTTATAATTTAAACCAAGGAATTTGATTTGCTATGCAAGTCCTTGATTAAACTGAATTCTAATATGATTAAGAAAGCAGTGTCGTTCAGAGCGAGGCATTTTGTTTCTGTTTTCCAGAACATTTATCAATTTTTAAGCAAAAATAAGATGAGACAAAAAAAAAAAAAATGTAATATCTACAAAATTACAATGGTTTGTTTGTGTTATAAAACTGCATGAGGTTTTTAAAAAGAATACAAATACAAAGGGAGTTGCAGGACAGGTCAAAATATAGTAAAGTAGTATACAGTGCAGGGACTGAAAGTAATCTGTAGTGATATAAGTAACATTGTAATACAAAGTATGGATTGTCTGTAGGCCTGAAGTGATATAAGTAATATTGTAACACAAGGTATGTATTTTCTGTCTTTAAACCTGAAGTAATGTAAATGACATTGTTATATAATGTACATATTTTCTATCTGACTAGGCTTGAATTGATATAAGAAACATTTCATCATGAGGAACAGGTTCTCTGTAGAACTGATTGGTAGGAGTTAAAGTTGAATTGCTACAAGTTAGGGTGGAAATGTTCAAGTTACACTAAATAGTATTATTTACAAAGTATGAATTTTCTCTACCTGCGTGAGATGTTTTATTTACACTGTATTACCAAACATGTGGTGTTTGATTAGCATGTTTTGCCATTTTTAAAACACCAGCTTAGTGATGTCCCTGGAATTAAGAATGGCCTGCTCAACATGTAAGAGTATATGTCTTGGCCTCGACCATAACTTATATAGCTTCATTACAGGGAATTAAAGGGCCATAACTTAACATGTTTACTCACTGTTAAGTAGGCTGTATCATAAATTTCCTACACAGATTGTCTGTATACAGGTGTTTTATACACCAGTCCGACAGAATGATGTATAATGCTGCAATACATGGCCAATCTCAAGGTGAATTGTTATACAGTATAATTCAATGGCCTCCAATTTTCTCATGTTGAAGTTTTTTTCTTTTGTCGGAGATAAAGGCTGGGATAAGTGGGGTAGTTAATTACACAAATTTGTTTCGATTAGATTTAAATAAAAATGCATGCCTTTTACACGTCAAAAATAAATTTATCATGAAGCCATATAGATTACGCTAAGGATTTATGCGATAACATCTCTAACTAAGGTATTGAAAGAGACTAATGAATTAATTCAGTATGACTACTATATATGTTTACTAGGCAATGGGAAGATATCCCCTGTGCTGCTAATTCATTCAGTCAAATTTACGTGAGTTTGTTCAAGCATGCACTCTATAGTTTCCAAGAGAAATCATAATAAAAACACCATGATTAAACATTCATATTTCTAATAATTAACGAAGATATATTACTGGTTACTGGCAACCGGAATTGAAAATATAAAACAAATCTGTTCATAATAGCAGTGATTTTTCTATCTCCTTTCCACAGGGGCCTTTGGGAAAATATCACACAATAACATGATTTTGGGAAAATGAAGTGAATTTTGCATTGATTTATGAAATTTAGATTTACAGCAGAAATTGTTAAGGGAAGGGGCCTTTATAAGGCTTCAAATTTACTCTTAAACATTCAAGTTAAGTAAAAGAAAAGTGATTCAATAATTGAATAAAAGGCTTCGAATTTGATCGATTTGGGTGCAGAAAGACTTTAGGAGGCTCCAACCAGACATAGTCCTTTATTATGTAAATAGGATGTGACTGAAGGGATTGAGTACACTATGTTGTGATTGTAAAGGTTGGGCTAGAAATTTTAGTTATGAATATCGCAAGTATATTGGGGTAGTAGTTTCCAATCTTGACTTGTCCATGTGCGAATTCCACTAACCCAAAATTATTCAACAAGATGAGCAAAATAAAAAAATTACTTGTTAATCAGGAAAGGTTTTTTTAGAATCACTAGTCCAGCTGGAGATTCTAGCCCTTAAAGGGAGGTAATTATATCTATAATAATTAGGGATGGTATACAATACCACAATGTGTGTTCATCTCACTTCTCAGATTGCACAAGTGCATTGTACATATGGATATATTTCATAAAGACTTTAGCAGTTAAGTGAAATATATCCATTAAATAAAGTGAACATATATTTGTGGTAATTGTGTCAGTGTGTTAAATTTCTCGTCCAAATTGATAATGAATGATTACACAAAGCTCAAACTTGATATGTAAATGTGGACTGCCCAAAAGAAAAATAAGACCCCCTTATTTTGGAGGGGTGATTTATTGAAAGGTCAAGGTCACTGTTAAAAAAAGTAGAAAATCACAGAAAAAAGTACCTGTCCTGATGCTTACTTAAGAACAGATAATCGCAGAAAGCTGAAATTTTGTAAGTGGTTTACAGTAAGAAAGAAAAAAGAACCCGTTTGATTTCGGATGTAGTTCATCGAAGGCCAAGGTCACTGTTACCAAGGTACTTAAAATAGAAATCCTCTTATTTGGATTAATAACATAAGATCAAGTGATAACACAAAGCTTAAACTATGTGAGTTGCTCTAGGGAAGAAGCTGAACCTTATAAGTTTTTGGGCATGATCTGCTAAAACTGAAGGTCACTCTTAAAAGTATAATTCTAAATAACATATAACCTGTCCAAATGCCAACTTCAAAGCAGATAATCACAGTGACACAAAGCTCAAATGGACAAATTTAGAATGTGGTTCGTCATAAGTTAGAGAAAGAACCCTATTGATTTGGGATGAAGTTCATCAAAGGTCACACCATGGAAATGTAAAACGCCGCAGGTTTCCTCACAGGCTGTGCAAACTAACCATCAAGACCGTGGAAATTGTCCGCACATTTCCGCACAGGCCGTGGAAATTGTCCGCACATTTCCATATTCAATATTTTTCAATAGTGTGGAAATCTGTGGAAAATGGAGTCTGAATACTCCGCGGATTATTTCCATGCAATTCTGTGGATTTATTCCGTGGAAATCCATGGATTCTGTGGAAAATATACACCCAGGACGGTAGCTGTTACTAAAAATGTTTTGGAATCTATAAGGATTATTCCATCAACACACTTAAAAACTAGTTACAATAATAAATCATCATGATAAATTATAGGTTGATAGAAACTTTGATGTTGAATGCAGTAAGATAAACTAGATTAGCCCTTGTGTTGACAGGTTGGCCCGTTCTTATCTGTAAAACCCTTGGATTAAGTTAATTGCCTGCTGTGCATGTTCAGTAATAAATCTTGCTGTACTATTATGTCACACACCTAGGGACACTTTCACTTCTATTAGGAAGGAATTGAGGTAATAAAAAGATTCCATATTGTCGTTACCCGTTTATCCCTTTAAGCATATGGTTTTGAAACATATCTTATGTAATCAATCTAGACAAAATATACCTGTATTTTATATTGAACATGCATAATTTCAGGTTATCATAACTAATTAGATATTACCAGATATAATTGTATTATTTGTAAGATATTTAGTTTTGTGGGTAAGAAATTCAGACTGAGTCATGGACAGGAGTGAGAGAGTGTTTGTGGACTTATATATATATATGGCCATACCGTTAACCTGAGTTTTATAGTATAGGCTACAAAGTTTGAAAATATGGAAGGACTTTCCCTGTAAGATAAGAATTGTGCATTGAATCAGGACTAGACTGAATTATTTGAATGTTACTGGACACCATAGTTCACTGGAGTTTTAACAACAAAGTCTGCTCATCAAGGTGTGACTGAAAGCTAATTCCCTAAACCACATCCAGATTAACTGTGTGAGTGACCATCAAACAAGTTCACCTTTTAGTAAGCTCAACATCATTTGGTGTGACAGATCTTTATTTCCTTACAAATTATTGCATAAAGGTAAGATTTGTTTATAGGCGTAGCTTATAGGTAATAGAAAGAACCCTATACATTGTAGGTGTGGCCCATCAAAGGTCAAGGTCACTTACTCAGAACAAAGGATCACACAAAGCTAAGACTTGGCTTGGAGTTTTCCTAGAGAAGTAGAATATCCCTTTTGAGTTTCAGTATGATCTGTCAAAATCGGTCACTGTTCATAAAAAAATTCACATATCAAATTACTTGTTCAGATGTTAACTTTAAAACAAATTATTACACGAAGCTCATGTGGACTTGGTGCGTCAGTTGACCCTTTATAAGAACACTATTGAGTTAAGGCATATGGGAAGTCAAATGTCAAGGTCATCATCCCTAAAAATAGAATTCATGTATCAAATTAGCTGTCTGGATGATCAAATTACCTGTCTGGATGTTTACTTTGGAAAGCCACTGTATTGTTTGAATTATAAAAATTCTTGCATGTATCAAAGCAACTGTTGTGATTGCACTTCGCTCAAATTTGATGTATGAGTTGACCTAAGGAAGATGAAAACCTCAGTTGGTTTTTGGCATGGTCATTCAGTGGTCAAGGACACTCTTTCTAAATATAGAATTTGTACCATCCTAACTTCAGAACAGATGATTCCACAGCTCCGTGTGTGTTGCCCTCGAGCCAGAGGAGGGGAGAACTCCTGTTTGTAATGGATGTGTTTTGTCAAAGGTCAATGTCAACATTACTGAAAATATAATTATCTTAAATATATCTTTGAGGTAACAATTAATTTCAAACTATATCATTACTTCTTAATAATGGCTGTAAACTTGAACCAAACACAATGGCAGACACCTCGACTGAGGATGAAATAATGACGCTACATTATCAACCACCGTGGAAAATGGCACTTATGTTTGGAACCCATTCTTGATTGATTTGCAGGTATGATCAGTGGATAAGGATGGTCTGGACCGATGAATTCCAGCCGAAAAGGAGTCTTGGCTGCTAGAGTATTACAACATCTTGTATTGTCTGATAACTCATGGTTGCATAACTATGCTAAGATTTACCAGGTAAGACGTTTGACCAGATCTAGATACGGTTTGTATATGATGTATGATGTGTACAGCGTAACAGTGAGGATAAATAGGATGTGATCTGCTCAGTCTTGATGTGCCTAGGTGGCCTGAAGGTAAACTCACTTTAACAGGCTATATAAGCAGATAGGTATCGGAATCAGATTAGGCTGTATAGAAAAACTGGAATTGCTTGTTTGTGAAATTTCCATTTTGTTTATTACAGTACAATACTTAAATATTCATTGCTCACCTGTGAGCATTTTACCTGTCCTGAGTGACAGATTGGCGATTGATAAGTATTAAATGGTCTAAACATAGCAGCAGGCCTGTAAATCCTTTAACACATACACCGTCCAGCTCTAATCACAGTACAAAGACCTTCACTCTCCCGATAAAGGCTCGGGGAATTTACCGGCCCACTGGCTACTCATGCAATAGTGCTACCCATATTGATAATGTAGTAATTGATTTTTCATATGATTCCGGGACATAGCCAATCTGTTGGGCATAAGTAGGGGATGATTGTTAGGGATCTCCGACTTCAGTAGATACAGTAAGATCTACCTGTGACTAAATTGTGACTTGTTAATTCATTACTCTCTTGGATTAAATATCAGTCTTACAGACATTATGATAATAAGTGAAAGCTGACAAACGTGTTCACTGGGTGATGACAGAGTCCGATATTCTGACATAGGTGAGTACTTCTTACCGAGTTGCTTATAAGTATTGTCAACTTAACTCTGTATTCTGTATTTCTAATTGTCCTGCTTAACAGGCCTTTTTGAAAGAAAGCAAATTGAAATAATTTTTGCTTTAAATATACATGAATGGAGAATGTAAATTTACTGTTATTGAGATCATATATAACTGTGTGTAAGAGAACTTTAAGGAAGTGGTTTCACATACATGTATAATAACATGAGAATATTAAGAAAAGAAATATGTTTTAAATGTTAAAGTTGCCTCACTATCCTGTACATGTTTTTTTTTCCAAAAAAATATGCACAGTGTATAATGTAGGATAGGAAACATCTCTATGTGTACAGGTAGATTGGGTTACCTGTTTGTGTCTTACTCAAGGGGTTCAATAAGTATTGATGTTCCACCCTGTCTTGCGGCTTTTGTCAAGTGTTACAGTCGATATGCTAAGTAAGTGAATGCCTTATGGATCGAGCTTTCATATTTATATTTATCTGCTCATTTTTTCCGTTCCAGGTGAAAATAAAATGCTGTTAAATTATATATGCAAATAATACAGTAGCCACAGTTATGGTAATATAGGTAAAAATCAATCTACCAGATCACATACTTCTATAATAGGTTGATAAAATTCAGTTTTACAAAACCAACACACACATATGTTCATGAATAGTATGGATTTTACAGGATAAAAAGGTTTGGAAAAGGGTCCCCACTCACACCCATTCAGCAGGTCCCACACAATTCTAATATAGTCTAGCAGCTTGTTTTCTCATTGACTATTCGAAAATAAGATGTGGCAAACAATTTTTATTTTATTGATTTTATAAACCCTGAGAAATGTAATGCAAAATGAATATGTGAGGATCTGGGAGCAACTATTACGTGTCTAGGTAAGCTGGTAGAGCTCTGCAGCAGGCTTTTGTTTGAATATTTTACATCAATATTTGTATGTATTTAATACTGTTCATAGGTCTTCAGTAATGGCATTTATGGCTTGTTAAAATACCATCAATAAATCATTTATTATTCCTATGTTTAAAAAAAAGAATATATATATTTTTTTTTTATTTTTTTTTTGGTAACAACTTTTCAATGCATGCAAATTCACATTTCCTGTTAAATCCAGGAGGTAATAAAATTGTGAATAATATATCTGGCTTAAACAGACAAACAATAAATTGTAAAAGAAAAAAGTAACACAATAAATGCAAAAGCTTGTTTTTGAATTGGTTCATGAAATTTGCATCACAATAAAATATTAATATATATTAATAACAAAAAGTGAAGTTGTATTGAAAAATACATCAAGTTTGCTGAAGCATTTGTAAGAACCTATGGACTGAAAAAAAATGTTAAATACAGCTGGGATATTTGTTTGTTGTTTCAGTAATCTTTACCTCTCATATGTGATATTGATTTCATATTTCTGTCTTCTTTGTCCTTCTGTGTGCAGTATTCCTTTGTCTGCTCTGTACTTCCGTCTACGGCCCTATTCCTGTGTCTGCGCTGTCCTTCTGTCTGTAGTATTATTATGTCCGCTCTGTCCTTCATTCTGCGGCCCTATTTTTATATCTGCTTTGTCCTTCCTTCTGCGGCCCTATTCCTATGTCTGCGCTGTCCTCCTGTCTTCGTTATTCCTATGTCCGCTCTGTCCTTCATTCTGTGGCCCTATTTCTATATCTGCTTTGTCCTTCCTTCTGTGGCCCTATTCCTATGTCTCCTCTGTCCTTCTGTCTTCAGTAGTATTCCTATATCTGCTCTGTCCTTCTGTCTGAGGTATTCCTATGTCAGCTCTGTCCTTCATTCTGAGGCCCTATTCCTTTATCTGCTCTCTCCTTCTGTCTGCAGTATTCCTATATCTGCTCTGTCTTTCTGTCTGAGGTATTCCTATGTCTCCTCTGTCCTTCTGCGGCCCTATTCCTATGTCTGCTCTGTCCTTCTGTCTGCAGTAGTATTCCTATATCTGCTCTGTCTTTCTGTCTGAGGTATTCCTATGTCTGCTCTGACCTTCTGTCTGAGGTATTCCTATGTCTGCTGCCCTTCATTCTGCAGCCCTATTTCTATGTCTGCTCTGTCCTTCTGTCTTCGTTATTCCTATGTCTGCTCTGTCCTTCTGTCTGCAGTAGTATTCCTATATCTGCTCTGTCCTTCTGTCTGAGGTATTCCTATGTCTGCTCTGACCTTCTGTCTGAGGTATTCCTATGTCTGCTGTCCTTCGGGGTTCATTCTGCAGCCCTATTTCTATGTCTGCTCTCTCCTTCTGTCTTCGTTATTCCTATGTCTGCTCTGTCCTTCTGTCTGCAGTAGTATTCCTATATCTGCTCTGTCCTTCTGTCTGCAGTATTCCTATATCTGCTCTGTACTTCCTTCTGCGGCCCTATTCCTATGTCTGCTTTGCCGTTCTGTCTGCGGTATTTCTATATCTGCTCTGACCTTCTGTCTGCGGGATTTCTATATCTGCTCTGACCTTCTGTCTGTGGGATTTCTATATCTGCTCTGACCTTCTGTCTGTGGTATTTCTATCTCTGCTCTGTCCTTCTGTCTGTGGTATTTCTATATCTGCTCTGACCTTCTTTCTGTGGTATTTCTATATCTGCTCTGTCCTTCTGTCTGTGGTATTTCTATATCTGCTCTGTCCTTCTGTCTGCACTATTTATAGATCTGTCTGCTTGTGTTCTCTCTGTCTCTCTCAGATATTCTTGTGAAATTAGAATAATTAACTGGAAATATCCATGTAATCAGTTAACGGTGAAGTCGAAATTTTTATAGATGCTTAAATTTTACAAGTGGTTGCTGGGCGGCACGGACACTCAGAATTAAATCAAAACGCAGCAGTACCAAAGTATTTGAAGTACATGTATTTCAAAATGATATTTGGTTATAGATTTGTAAACATATATATAGCAGAGTGATTTATGCATTCTTATTAGTTAGCTTATCACCTACGACAAATTTCTACCTACATTTGTACATGTAGCGTAATTTGTTAATTGTTTGTAAAACACGTCAATGCCTCGGCCATGCCATACAAATTTTAGAAGAAAAAAGTTCCTCAACCCACTATCATTAATCAGTTTTTGTCTGATGCCTTACTGCCAGCAACATCTGATATTGTGATAAATTTGAAAGTTGCATTCCTTTGTATTAGATAATGGATGCTTAAATCTTACATGTGGTTAAGCTTCACATACACTTAAAACTGGTTTAAATCAAACAGTACCGAAGAATTCTAAGTAAATTGTATAATTATGTATTATGAAATCAAATGGTTCTAGATTTGTAATAATAGCGGAGTAATTCTTGAATACAAATTTGTAAGCTTATCACCTCCGACAAATTTCTACGTAGCATGATTTTTTGTTTGTAAAATACGTTAATGCCTCGGCCATGTGATAAAAATTGTGGAAGAAAAATGTTCCTCAACATATAATCCTTAGTCAGTTTTTGCCTGTATGTCTCATTGCCAACAACATCTTGTTTTAAGTGATATAGTGGTAAATTCAAAAGTTGCATACCTTTATATTAGATCCAAAACCCCAGTGTCCATATGATACATAATACATGTACACATTATACTTGTATACAAGGTTCAGTTTTGGTGACGTTTAAAGCTAACAATCATATAAGATCACCCTGTCCAGGTTTTTTCTGTAAAAAAATAATTCAACATAGTTATTTTGTCGAAAAATCAGTTTAAACAATTCAGATTACGGACATTTAAAGCTAACAATGCTGTCACACCATGTGCCATTATTTTCTGTCAAAGAAAACATAAGATTTGAGTGGCCCAAGGAGTTTACTCTGTACTGGCACGGTAAATATTGGTCACTGGAGTCGGGAAATAGTGACAGTTACACATGAAATTCTTTGAACAGATATATAATATCCATAATTACTTTAACCCTGAAATTCAAACTCATAATAATGATGGTATCATCTGATACGTAATTGACTTCTGCGACAGTAGAATGTTAGTTCGAACTTCTCCGACACTGGCAGTACTATTGTTTCCCAAGTATACTCAGAACTGTAATGATATACCAATCTACATTGAATAAACTGATTCATCTCGATCTTAAATACATAAAGTGATTTATGTAGGATAAAGCAGTCAAAATCTTATTAAGAAATATTTAACATTGGTTAAAACCGTTAAGTTTACCAATGAACAGGTGTATATGACTAGGTATCTATCTGTACATATATATTTAAAACAAGGTTTTTGTTACCAGTGTACACCTGGTAAGCTAGTATTGAGAAAATTTACATACAATGTGAAGTTATACCTAGTGTTTAAGATTGTACATGTTCCCCCATAAATTTACTGTTGTGGTACTAAACTCATAGTGACACTCTTTATAAGGTTGATTTTATCTCGTTTACTTATTTTTGTGTAAGTTATTATCTGATCAATGAGTGGAATATCTATGGAAATCTTCAGTCATAATTATCCTGTACTTGCATACTATGGAGGATTTAGTGAGGAAAAAGGTAGGTACACTATCATGTTTCTCATTCAGCAAAATGCTGGTAATGATTTGAGATAAGTGTAATTGTAATTTTGTCCTTATCAAAAATCAATACCCGGTAATAAGCAATATTAAACGTTTGTTTTTATCCGATGTTATATAACATATCTTTATCATACAGATGAATACAGCCAAGAGTGCATAAAGGTTTAAGTGTAGTAATGCTTTTATTGCATACCTGCCCAGATGGGAAAGTGAGCGTATGGCATGATGTGACAGCTCTTACTGTCGTCTAACATCATCTTTTTCTTTTTTAAATGGCTTTATGAAGGGCTATCAACTTTATTTAAATCAACGACCTTGACCAACTTTGAAGGTCACAGGGATAAAACAAACTAAAATTTTCCAACAAAGATCCATAAGTATGGAAGTCAGTTCCAGTGGCTGTAGGGATCCTGGGGTGGATACCTAACAACAGGGGGGTGGAGACTCAACGGCCCTGTAAGGAAGTCAGTTCTAGTGG